ATTTCTCTCTGTGCATATATATAGATATATATAGATATATATATATATATATATATATATATATATATATATATATATATATATATATATATATATATATATATATATATATATATATATATATATATATATATATATATATATATATATATATATATATATATATATATATATATATATATATATATATATATATATATATATATATATATATATATATATATATATATATATATATATATATATATATATATATATATATATATATATATATATATATATATATATATATATATATATATATATATATATATATATATATATATATATATATATATATATATATATATAGATATATATAGATATATATAGATATATATAGATATATATAGATATATATAGATATATATAGATATATATAGATATATATAGATATATATAGATATATATAGATATATATAGATATATATAGATATATATAGATATATATAGATATATATAGATATATATAGATATATATAGATATATATAGATATATATAGATATATATAGATATATATAGATATATATAGATATATATAGATATATATAGATATATATAGATATATATAGATATATATAGATATATATAGATATATATAGATATATATAGATATATATAGATATATATATATATATATATATATATATATATATATATATATATATATATATATATATATATATATATATATATATATATATATATATATATATATATATATATATATATATATATATATATATATATATATATATATATATATATATATATATATATATATATATATATATATATATATATATATATATATATATATATATATATATATATATATATATATATATATATATATATATATATATATATATATATATATATATATATATATATATATATATATATATATATATATATATATATATATATATATATATATATATATATATATATATATATATATATATATATATATATATATATATATATATATATATATATATATATATATATATATATATATATATATATATATATATATATATATATATATATATATATATATATATATATATATATATATATATATATATATATATATATATATATATATATATATATATATATATATATATATATATATATATATATATATATATATATATATATATATATATATATATATATATATATATATATATATATATATATATATATATATATATATATATATATATATATATATATATATATATATATATATATATATATATATATATATATATATATATATATATATATATATATATATATATATATATATATATATATATATATATATATATATATATATATATATATATATATATATATAGATATATATAGATATATATAGATATATATAGATATATATAGATATATATAGATATATATAGATATATATAGATATATATAGATATATATAGATATATATAGATATATATAGATATATATAGATATATATAGATATATATAGATATATATAGATATATATAGATATATATATATATATATATATATATATATATATATATATATATATATATATATATATATATATATATATATATATATATATATATATATATATATATATATATATATATATATATATATATATATATATATATATATATATATATATATATATATATATATATATACATATATATATATATTCAGCATATAGACAGAGAGAGAGAGAGACAGACAGACAAACAAGCGGGAGGGGGGGAGTCAAGAACTATTTGCTCATTCATATCTGCTTGCGATTTGAAATTGTACAAATGCATATCCACAGCAAGACAATACAGCCGGTGATTCACTTTAAGCACCGTTAGAGATGACATCGTTGCCAACATTTTTTTCTCTCTTCTGTAACCCTCAACTGATTAGTCTTAATCTATCTAGATTAATAAATGAGTGAATTACAATATGATTTTGTTAGAGGGTGGGGATTTATTTCGTATTTAAAAATCGGTAGCGACTGTGCCATCATTCAGATTTCTTAGAGGATTTAACATTGTCTATGAAACTCGTCGGGATTAATTTGACTTCTCTCTTGAAAGATTTATGAAAGATATTTATTTATTCATTGTCTCCTTGTTCTTTAAGTCTAAAGTGGGCCTAAGAATTCGTGAGTTTTCTGCTTCTTTTGCTATGGCTTTGTCCCATTCTTATATGGAGTCGCTATAATCTGGTTCTGGTAGATATTGTTTTATGGCCGGATGCCCTTCCTGACGCCAACCCTCTCTATTTACCCGGATTCGGACTTCTGGATTACCCATCAGTGGCCTAAGAAAGCGAGAGAGAGAGAGAGAGAGAGAGAGAGAGAGAGAGAGAGAGAGAGAGAGAGAGAGAAAATTTAATTATTATTCAACTGAATAAGAACCAAAATATATTTCATTTGAGAAATCCTCT